ACTGAGACTTGAAGCTCACAAGTTAGGCTAGGCTGCAGAGAGCCCCAGGGATCTGCCTGTCTCAGCCTCCTCAGCTTTGGGATTATATCTACATGCCCATGGCCTGCTTTTTTTTTTTTTTAAACTTCCGTGCTAGGGACCCAACTCAGGCCCCAGGGCTACACGACAAGCACAGCACACACTAGCTTTCCTTTCCCTCGCTCTCCTTTCTTTTGTTTTTGGAGTCAACCACTTACCCTGCATCCCAAGCTGTCTCACAGTTACGATCTTCCTGCCTTGGCCTCCTGAGTGCTGAGATTGTAGCTATGAGCCACCATGCATAATTCATTTTCTCTTTTCCCCTTTTTCCCTCGGTTTCACTGGTGGTCACTGTGTCTGACAGCGTCTACCATCCTACTTCAATCCTACCTTCCTCTGGTACAATCAACAGGAACTTCCAGTTATAACTTTGTAAACTAATCTTTATAGTCTTCCTCACTTTAAGAACTGGCTCCATGTAGCTGGGGTTGCGGCGGGTAGATTGATGGTAGAGCCCTTGCCTAACATTTTTGCATAAGGCCCTGGATACCCCAGTATCCACAAGGAAAGCTGGCTACATAGGAACAGAACTTTTATTTTGTTTTGAGACAGGGTCTCATGTAGCCTAGGCTGTCCCCAAATTCTCTATGTAGCCAAGGATGATTTTGAATTCCCAATCCTCCTGCCTCTGTCTTCCAAGTAAGAGATTACAGGCACATATCAGCACACCCCATCAACAGCATCTCCATACCCACTCCCCAACTGTATTATCTTCCTCTGAGCCAGCACACTGTTTTATCACCTTGCTGATTCCTTCCCAGTAAGATAGTGAACTCCAGCATGTGCATAAGATGAATTGATGTGCCTAAGATGCAGTGTTCTGGTATCTCACTACTTTTGGGAGCTTGGGACACCCAGGTGTGTGGTTCTCCCTCCTCTCCCATCTTTATTCAGAAATTTCAGGTGCCCAGAGGATTGGCATTGGTCAACCTCTAGTGCCATGCCCATACTTACATTCTGTCTTAGGTGACCCCTTTTGTTCAATACTCAAGTGAAGACCATGTCTTTTATAGAAGCATCCCATTCCTGCCTCCCCCCATACCTTTCCATTCCTTTCTTCATACCAGCTAGGGGCTGGCTCCTCCTTGAAGCTCCCATGCATGTCTTAGAATGGTGGCATCTGTCATTGGACACCAATAGAAAAATACATGTTAAAAACGGCTTGCATTTGTAGCTTCATTGTGAAATATTTGTAGCTCATATTTACTTCACGGCTTGCTATGTACCAGACACCCTTTTGGGCCCTATCTGTAAATAAGCTCTTAGTTTGGCAGTGGCCCTGTGCAGATGCGACTGTTCCCTACCAAGCTATCCATTTCCTCTCTGTGACCGGAAGAGCCCTAATTTTGTGTGACTGTCGATGGCTTTCCCTAGGAACTCATGGAAAGCTCCATCCCACTCAAACTAAAGCAATTACTCTAATTCCATTTCTCAGAATGATTGGTTTCAGCCCTAAATGGGACAGGTATACGACCGTCTCCTTCTGAGGCTCCGGGAACGCTCTGGAGGGGTGGAAATCAATTACTGTAATTGCGTTTCTCTTGGAGTGATTAGTTTAGACATGGACTTGTAATACAATTCTGGCCAACGCGGAAGGGAAGCCTAATGGGTGGGAGAGGAGGAATACTTCTTGCAAGGGTCTGGATGACAGGCATTGTGGCCATTAGGCTGCTGGGGGGGGGGTGTTAGTTATTTTCCTACTGCTGACAAACCAGCTGACAGAATTGAAGGGAAGAAAAGCTTATAATGACTGAGGTTTTCAGAGGTTTGGGTACATCAGGAGGGGAAGACACTATGAGAACGGCTCCATCCACGGCAGTGTCAGAAAAGTCACAGAATACTTGGACTTGAACCAAAAGTGGCTATACCTTCCAGGCCTGCCCCCAGTGACCTGCTTCAGCAAGCTCTCCAAACGATGCCAGCACCCGGGGTCCAAGAGTCCAACACAGAAGGTGGCTGGGTTGCTTTGCATCTCAACTACAGCAGGGGCAACTAACCTGAGAGCAGAGATGCAAAAAGAAAACAGAATCCTTGGGTACATTGTTCACTGAAGTACCCACCCAAGGCCTATCAGGAGTTCTTTTTTATGTGAGGAGACATTTTTATTTTTCAAGCAGAAATACCTAGTGGCCTCTTAATCACTGCAAAATCCATTAGAATATTTTATATTAATTTTGCAAGTCAGGCAATTGAAGTTCATCGAATTTCCGTAATTTATCCGGGTTCAGTCGCCTGTGGAAAGCTAATCTTCCCCAGGACTTTTATGTATTGCACAGAGCTCATACTCACAGCGAGGGGCTCAATCTTGCACAATTTTTATAATCACTGCTATTATTTGTTGGTGCTGTTCAGAGACAAGGTGTTCAGTCGTCCTTTCTCTATATTTGAGAAGCACTTACATGCACATGATGAAAAATGCTCACACTACTCCCCTCCCCTGCCAGCTGCCCTACCTTCCCTCTAGCATCCCACCAAAGTCATGGCCCACCCTAAGGCTCAACCCAACTTCATTCACATTCATCTCAAATACAGGACTTAGGACTAAACAATAGGTCTCAAGGGATGGGAAGCTGAAGGTCATGGAGGATGTAGAGGATGGTGACAAGGTTGGGGGAGAAGAGGAAAGGGGTTAATAAGGATGCACGGGATGCTCTTCCTGTGTCTCCCATAGATTCTCACGTGCTTCTAGGTAGACAGAATGTGAGGCCGACTTCAGGATTGAACTTGAATACATCTAGTCCAATGAATCCAACTGACTAGCCACATTGAGGGCCATGCCACCATGATGACCATCTGTCAATGATGGCCATGTCTACTGGTCCACGTGTCTTCATGGTCTTGTCAATGAGACATGCCAGTTCCCCTGGTGGTTCTGGGGCTCAGTCTGCAGCATCTTCTCCAAGCCTGTTGTTGTCCACTGCCAGGAAGAAGACAACCCCTGTTCCTCTTCCCACAGTGGGCACCAGCTCCTCCAGCAGTGTGGTTCCTCTGCTGATGCCATCTTTGTAATAACATCATATCAGGCACCGTGCATACTCAAACTGTTTGTTCTTGGAGACAGAGTCAGCTGCCTGCTCAGACTGAAATTTCCCTTCAAACTTTTCAGATCCTCCACAGACACCAGCTCGTTCCGCACAGACTTTATGTCCACAGGTCCTGTGAGTCAAGCTTCACACCGTGGTCCCTCCTGGGACCCAGGCTCTGTGGTGTGGCAGCAGGGGCAGAGAGTTGTTTGTTTTTTGATAATCAATCTTGTGCAGTTTGCACTGCCCACGTGAGCGTGAATGTGGGCATCCACCGGAACATGGGAAACCTACCAGCGGCCACATCTCATAAAAGAATGAGTCTTCCTCCCTGGCAACTGTCCACAGCCAATAGCTCTTCAGTAAAGGGGTGGGGCCTAGAGACCATCAATCCCTTCTGTGCTGGGAATTTGGCTGGCTTTATCTTGCGCAGGTGACCACAGTGACTGTAAGTCCATGAACTCATCAGCCAGGCCGTGTGCAGAAGAAAGCATTTTACAGCACACCTCCCCCTCCTCTGATTGCTGTGTTCTTCCCGCCTCCTCTGCTACATTTCCTGAGCCTTGCATACCGTTTAGGGTAGAGAGTTTAGTCTCTTACTCTCAGTGCTCTGACTAGTTGGTCATGCATCTCTTACTGTTGACTGCTGCCCACTGTGGATGGGGACATTTCTCTGACCGAGGCTGAGAGCAGTCCAAATCCATGGGTATAAACATATTTAGGAGTCAGTTTGACAGCACAATCATTTATCAAATAACAATACCAGATTCTAGGGCCACGAAAATCTTATTCTTCAATCTAGGCTAGTCTGAAACTTGCTTTGCAGACCAGATGATCCTCTTGTCTCAGCCTTCCAAATGCTTACGTTATAGTTTTGTGTCACCACACTCAGATTCTTACTTAGTTTTTAAGTCTTTATGTCTATCACGGTATCTGGAATGTAATTGTTGCCCAACGAATAGGATCGGAAGACCGCAGTTTACGTGACATCTGAACGTCTCTGAACTGTTATACTTTGAATCTGAAGCGTTCCTCCACCCTACCTCCCCCTTCTAAGTATCTACATATGTCTATGATGTCATCAGATTTCTATCTCATCAATGAACTGTGATGAAGTCATGGACCTCTTGGTTCAATCACTTCCCCAATCTACATCAGCTGGTGTGCATGCCTTTAACACCTGGGCTCCAGCTGTGACTATGCAGTCATCTGAGAGAGTCTGGAGCCGAAATGTTTTAGAAAAAGGGGTTCCCCACCTGAAAGCAAGCACCTAGGAAAGTGTTTTTATAGATTCAGTCACCCAGTTATACAGAAACCACTGCGACCGCCATCGAAGAGGGCCAGGCTGTCTCAGCTGGCAGTAGAACTTGACACATCACCAGCATGGCATTTTTTTTTTCAGACGTTAAAGTTGCAAGGGTAAAAAGCACCTGGAGTCTTATGCCAAGGGTCCAGAAAATTGTTCAGACCAGGCAATGTGTTGGCAGGGGTGACGTCTCTTCCAGGAATCCCTAAGAATATAGTGTACAAATTGGTGAAAGTGAACTCTAAGTTGTAGTGGGCACCCCACGAGTTCAGAGATGCCAGAGCAATGTGACATTTGCCAGGGAAAGCTACAGCCTTGAGTGGAGTCAGCCCAGGAGAGAGGACTCAACATTTTATAGGTAGTAGAGCTGAAGGGGCAAGGCTGTTCAAGTTCTTTGGAGCCCAGAGAATTCCATCATAAGCCACAGATAGCGGACATGGGTCTACAGGATTTGGTATTTGCCCTGTTGTGTTTGGTCCAATCTTTGCTAGCTATGCCTGTGTTCCCCTCTTTTGCAATGGAAATGTGAACTCTGCCATTTTTCATTAGAAGTATATGACTTGTTTCGTTGTTTGTTTTTCTTAATTTTGCAGGCTCTCAAAGTTAAGAATTTTTCTCGAGTCTCAAAAGTATCTGGACTTCTAAAAGCTATGAAACTTTTAGAGATGGAACAAGAGGAGGTGAAAACAGGACTTTGAGGCAAGGGATGGAATGAATGCTCTGATGGCGTTGTGTGTTTGGAGGTCAAGCTGACAAGGCTGGGATTGCGACCGTCAATCTTCATTGTCAAAAGTGATGGGATTTAGAATCACCATGGAAACCCCTCTGGGTGTGTCTATTAGGGTGTTTCCAGGAAGCCTTAACTGAAGCAGGAAGATCCACCGAATGTGGGCAGCACTGTTCCACAGGCTGGGGTTCCAGACTGAATAAAAAGGGTGAAGGGAGCTGAACTTTCCTCCCGCCCCTCCTCCCTGACTGCTCAGTGTGACCTGCTGCCATGCCTTCTCCGCCATGATGGGGCATACCCTCAAACCATGAGACAAACCAGGCCTCCATCCCCCTTCAGCTGTCTTGTCAGAACAGTGAGAAGAGTCACTGACAGAAGAGAAAGCACATCATACAATTTGATATCCATGTCTTCCTACAAAACTTGGCAAGCTAGAGGGGAAAAACCAGTTCCTTAATCTTGTAAAGCATATCTATCAAAAAAAAATCAACTACAAATATCTAAGTGTTGAGGAATTTATATTCACTTTGCCTTTCATTTAGGATCAAGACTGTGATTGTGTCTTTACCATGGTCTTTACCAAGTTTATGTAGTGCATTAACACAAGAAAAGGTCAAGATAACATGAAAGAAAACTACCATTATTTATAGGAAATATTATTACCAACACAAAATGTAGAGGGAATGTATATAAATATTATGAACACTAATGCAAATATTCTCCCTGGTTGCTAGATAAATATGCAGACAATATTGCATTCCAGTATGCTTGCAATAATTAGAATGATAATAAAGCAGCACCTGTGAGCTTCTTGGAATAAAATCCACAAGAAAGACATATATTAGATATTTAGGAAAGAAAAAACTCAGAATTTATTAAAAAGCATAAAAGGCAAAACTAAATGAAGAAGTGAAAGAAGTTGATGTATTGACTTAGATTCTTATAAGTCCCAGCTCTTCTCAAATGAAGCTCTGTGATTTTTGTAGAAAGAGCAAGTGTAGGCTTAGCACAGGGCACCTCAGTACTTGATAGGAAACCATAGTTATTAAGAGTTCAAAAGCGGGGCTGGAGAGATGGCTCAGTGGTTAAGAGCACTGGCTGGTCTTTCAAACATGAGTTCAATTCCCAGCACCCACATGGTGGCTCACAACCAACTGTAATGAGATTGGGTGCCCTCTTCCAGCCTGCAGGCATCCATGCAGGCAGAACATACATAATAAATAAATACAAAAGCACTGGGTAAACCAGGCTTCTCAGACTCCGTGTTCATCGGAGCCCCATGGGAACCCTATTAATCACAGATCCTGATTAAGAAAGCCTGGGTCTGGGCTTGAGGCTGCATTTCTAATGAGCTAATACTGGCACAGCTGGTCCATGCAGCACACTTAGAGATTATTGCGAGGCAGTAAGTAATTAGAAGAAAAGAATAGGGAGCCCAGAACCAGGCTCATATACTTATGGAAGCTTCCTGATTTAGGACGCATAGCAGGTTAGTGGGGAAAGTATGGTACATGAAAAACTGTGCTGACAGAATGTTCTCGTGAGGAGGCAGAAGTGTAAGATAGAAATATTTGAAGGTGTCACAGGCCCAGCTTTGAAGATGGAGGGGAGACTAGAAGCCAAAGAATGCAGGTATCCTTTAAAAGACTTGTCCTCAACCTTCCTAGTGCTGTGACCCTTTCATACAATTCCTCATGCTGGGGTGACCCCCAACCATAAAGTAATTTTCATTACTACTTTATAATTGCTTTTTCCACTCTTATGATTGTAATGTAAATATCTGAGAAGCAGGATATCTGATATGTGACTCCGTTAGAGGGTCATTTGATTCCCCCCAAAGTTGAGAATCACAGGTTAAGAATCACTGCTTAAAAGCTAAAAGACTGCAGTTGAATGTGATGTTTCATCCCCATAATCCCAGCATCTAGGAGTCTGAAGGATCAGGAGATCAAAGCCAGCTTCAGCAGTTTATCGAGGTTGAGGTAGGCTTAAGCAACATGAGACTGTATATATGTATGTATATACATATGTGTGTGTATACACACATATACATGTGTATGTATATATACGTATATACATACATACACACACACACACACACACACACACACACACACAGAGGGGAGAGGGAGGGAAGGAGGGGCAGGCACGCAGGTAGAGACAGAGAGAAGAGAGATAAATATCAGAGAAATTGATTCATCCCTAGATCCTCTAGAAGGAACACAGCTCTGTCGACTCCCTTATGCTACCTAGTGAATCGTTTTGGGCCCCTAACTACCAGGACTATAAGAGAGTCAGTGTCTTACTTAGGGTTTTTATTGCTGTGACGAGACCCCATTGCTGTAGGACAATGGCCTGTACCCTGTCCCTTGTATTTTAAATAAACGTTGATTGGCCAGTCGCCAGGCAGGAAGTATAGGCGGGGTGACCAGGCAGGAAGAAGTGGGGCAATGAGAATTCTGGGAAGAGGGAAATTTCAGTCTGCAAATTGTCACCCAGATAGAGAGGAAGCCAGACACAGAGCAAACAAGATGTGACTGCCTTGCCATAAAAGGTACCAAGCCACGTGGCCAACAAAAAGACAAGAATTATGAGTTACTGTAAGATGTAAAAATTAGTTAATAAGAAGCCTGAGTTAGTAGGCCAATCAGTTTATAATGAATGTAGGCCTCTGTGTGTTTATTTGGGACTAAATGGATGTGGGACCTGGTGGGACAGAAACCTGGGTCAACATCCCATGGCCACGGCAAGTCTTATAAAACGAATTAGTTGGGGTGGCTCACTTACAGTTTCAGAGGTTCAGTCCATTATCATCCTGACAGGGAGCATGGCGGCGTGCAGACATGGTACCGGCTACCTGATGTGGGCTTAAATTTTTTAAAAGTTGCCATAAAGGCTGTACTATTTCGTACTCCCCCTGGCAGCATCCTTGAGCATTATTTGTGACATTGCAGCAATCTGGGGGCCCTTTTTTTAGACACTGAAATCATCAACCCTTTCTCCTGAGAAAACTGATGAAGAGGCCTGGAAAATACCCAGAAATCTAGAATGTGGGTGTTCGGAATGCCCTGTAAGGATCTGACTTTTAACTGCCAAGTTGGGCTGATAGGGCTTTGAGCGTCTTGCTCCTGCCTGGTGGAAAACCCCTGCTTCAACACTATGAAATGTGTACAGCCCCTTCTATGATGGGCTCTGCCATCTGTCCAGGGTTTATGGAGGCTAGTGGATGTAATTGTGTTCCCTCCAAAAGATATGCCCAGCTTTGAACCCTCAGAATCCAAGACTGTGGCCTTCTTTGGGAACAAAGAAGTACTCCAAGATGTAATTAAATTAAACATCTCAAGAACGTATCAGCCTGAATTTAGGGTTGAATCTGTCTTAGGTTTCTTCTGTTGTGATAAAACACCGTGACTAAAAGCAACTTGGAGAGGAAAGGATTTACTTTCACATCATAGTCCATGAACAAAGGAAGTCAGGGCAGGAACTCAAAGCCTAAACCTGGAGGCAGAAACTGAAGCAGAAGTCATGGAGGAGCACTGCTGACTGGCTTGATCCCAATGGCTTGCTCAGCCACCTTTGATAAACACTCCAGGACCACCTGCCTGGGGTGGCCCCACCCACATTGGATTGGCCCCTCCCATATCCATCATTCGTCAAGAAAATTCCCTACATATTTCCTTACTGGCAAATGATTGGAGGCCTTTTCTCGGTTAAAGTTTCTTCTTCCTAGGTATGTCTAGGTGTGTGTTAAGTTGACAAAACTCAAACAGGGCGGAAGCCACAATGCTAGAAGCTAGAAGAAAGAACAGTTAACAGTTACAGCATTTCCCTCTCCTGAAGCAAAGGATCATTGTCCCTAAAGGCGTTAGAGAGAGAAGGATGACCTCAGTTTACACCAATGACTTTTAGAACTGTGAGAATATATTCCCATTAAGTCCTTCAACAGCTGGTAATTGAGAATCACAGAGAGAACTTGAAGGTTGAAAGTGTAGAATCAGTTATACCAGACTTTCCAGCATTGGGAAGCTGAGGCAGGAGGATTGCGGTGCCAGTCTGGGCAGCCTGAGTTACATATTGGACCTTGTTTCAAAACAAAAGCAAACAAAAGTACACTTTTTGTTTCAAAATAGGCCACTTTCCCTAGTTTCAGCTGATTTTTAACTTATTGTATGATCCAGGTTAGCCTCAGACTTGGGATTCTTCTGCCTCAGCCTCCCAGGCACCGGCATTACAGATGTGCACCACCACACTGGCTGGACCATGGTCCTCCCCACTGCCATTTTTGTGTCTCTAAGACAGAGACCTTGGGGCTGAGTCCAGAGTATCTACTCAGTTTGTATTTGCTGGCTCCATGAAGGTAATGCAGCATTGCTAATAAATAGGCATTGAAGGCAGATTATTGAGAGCAAGTCACATACATCACAATCTATTCATGCTATGTACGACCATAGAGTGCCTTCAAACAAGTCAGATCTGTACCTACCCGTGTGAGACGTGTGCCGTGACAGATTCAGAGTGAAAAAGCAAAAGCCACAAGGACAGTCACAGGACAGTTCTTAAGGTAAGCCACTGTTTTACAATCAAAGCATTGATTTAACATTAAAAACTCATTTGATACAGAGGAGACAAAGGCGTGGAAAGAAAGTCAGTTTGTTTTCTGGGATGGGTTTTGGTTTTTGAGACTCTTACAAAAATTTTGGGTATGGTTAAGTAGTTGTCTTATTAAATAGATGTATATCTTTATCATATATTTATTAACTCTTTGTATATGCTTATTATAGATCTATGAGCCAAGTACAGTGGTACATGTCTGTAATCCTAGCATTAAGGAGGCTAAAGCAGAAATATCACAAGTTCAAGGCCATC